GTAAGTTCTACGCATGCATTACTCAACAATGAAGTATAGAACCGTTGAATCAGTCCTGTGTAAAGTTCAGTGAAATGTACTGCACCATTTCCAACATAATGAGCCAGCCCGGCGCAGTGAGTGAGATCTCAGACCATGATTGTGCAATGACAGGTATATGTATCATGGGCAAGTCTTGACTTGAAGAGGATTGCTTCAACTGTGCTGTACACCACAGTGAGTTGGGAACACGAGGTGTGGAAAACAGGGCAACATTGATGCAGAAAGTGGGTTTTCACCTTTGCCCAAATACTGTAATTGGTGGATCTGAATTTTCCTCTCCATCCGTAAAAAAGCGGCATCTGACACCTTTGCATGTGGTCATTTCATGTAGTCTTTTCATGTGGTATTTTCATGTGGCGGTGGCGTCATCCCTAGAAAGCAGAAAGGTCTTATTGAGCTGTGTAGTTGCCAGATCCTATTTAAAACACCCTTCCCTATTTGAAGTACATAAGCAGAAGAAAGTAAAGATCGCAGATACGCAACCAAACCGGCTATGCAATTGTGTTGAGAAACACAACCAGTTTAGGAAGTTTTGCTTGAACAAGGCCACCACCATGCCTGAGATACCAGGGTGGCAGATGTAGCACGTGACAGTGAGGGTAACTTAGTAAGTATCACAAGCAATGCCTGACAAGGTGCAAACCTCGTTAGCTGCATCAATGTTACCCTCACTTCGAATACAGTGTAGTGAGTACACAGTTGACAGTGGTTGTCAGAGCAGTTAACTGCATGTAAAGTGCTTCACGCTTGCATCACAGCATTTGTTAACAACGTACACGCTCACTGGTGTCAGCACTGGTCTTGAACTCAGAACCTTGGGACTCGCAGGCAAGCCCACAACCACTCGGCCAAAGTACTGGTCAGTAGGCAGTGGCAATAATTTCCCTACACTGCTTGCTTAATGACATGACCACTTTTTAGCCCGACCAGGTTTTTTTGAAGGCCCTGCAAGGCTGCATGGCCTACACCAGGGAGTCGTAGGGGGTCGTACGACTTCCTGGCTTGCACCAGGGAGCCCTAAGCGTAACACATGCGAGTGTACGTGCATATAGGGCTACCGGTATGGCCTACGACCATGTACACTGTGTGATGCACATACCCGGACGCTTTTCGCTTGCACGCCTTCGCTGATCCGCTGCTTTTTGTGTTCCACTTTTTCCAAAGAATTCTCGTAGTTGTGTGTCTTTTTTCTCTCTGATTGCTGCTTGTGTGGACACCATGGAGGCTCATCAGCCTCGGAACTTTGCGTTTCCAAAGCGAAGTTTCGGGCGAACATCGATCGTTGAGCGTCCGTTTCAACCAGCTTGGTTCGATAAATTCAACTGGTTGCACTACGACGAGTCGACGGATTCTGTGACCTGCCATTTGTGTTCCTTTGCTAATCAGCAAGGGAAGCTGAAAGCGCCATCGAAGGACTCGGCCTTCATTTCTAAGGCCTTCAAGAATTGGAAAGATGCCACGGAGGGGTTCCGCCGGCACGAAAAGTCGCTGTGTCATATCGACGCTGTCCAGGTGATGCTTGTGCTACCGCAGACTGTCTCGGACGTTGGTGAGGCGCTAAGTCAAGCCCATGCCAAGGAGAAAGCCCTGAATCGGCGAATATTCGTGAGAATCCTAGAGAACATGAAGTTTTTGGGTCGCCAAGGTCTTCCCTTGCGTGGCCACGACGATGCAGAGTCGAACTTTATGCAACTGCTGCAACTACAGAAGCTACATACTCCCGAGTTGCATGCTTGGCTGGAGCGACGAGTGGATAAGTACTGCTCCCCCGAAATCCAGAACGAAATCCTTCAGCTAATGTCGCATAGCATACCCGGAATGTGGCCAAGTCCATCCATACTGCTGAGGTGTTCAGCGTAATGGCCGATGAGTGCGCAGATGTATCTTACAAGGAACAGCTGGCGTTGTGCTTCCGGTGGGTTGACCAGGAGTTGGAAGCTCATGAAGATTTCGTTGGTTTGTGCCAGATTGAAAACATATCTGCAGATACGATCGTTGCGGCTATCCGGGACTGCATGCTGCGACTCAACCTCCAACCGACTCAACCGTTGCCGAGGCCAATGCTACGACGGTGCCACAAATATGGCTGGCCACAGATCTGGTGTCGCGAAGCAGTTGGGAGATGAAGAGCCAAGGGCTAATTTTGTGCACTGCTACGGGCACTCTCTGAACCTGGCTTGTGCGACACCATCAAGACGACTGTGCTGACCAGAGATTCCCTCGATGTCACCTGCGAGATCAGCAAGTTAATTAAGTACTCGCAAAAACGGAATGCCCGATTTGACGCCCTGAAGGGTAAGATCTCGCCCCACACACCAGGATTCCGTGTGCTGTGCCCGACCCGCTGGACAGTGCGAGGCAAGAGTCTGCAAAGCATCCTGAATAACTATCTGGTCTTGCAAGAACTGTGGGATGAAGTTCTGGCTGGGAGTGTGTACCCCGACGTGCGTGCTCGCGTAATCGGAGTGAAGGCTCAAATGGAGACTTTCAACTCCTTCTTTGGAATCAGTTTGGCCCGTCTCGTCCTGGCACATGGTGACAACCTTTTTGTTTCCCTCCAGAGTTCAACAATGTCTGCTGCCCAAGCCCAGAATATAGCACGTTTGACGGTGGACACAATCACAAAGATGCGCACAGAGAATTCATTCTCGATGTTCTGGGAGGCTACTGTGGCAAAAAGTCACCAGTTTGATGTCTCTGAACCGCAGTTCCCTCGCAAACGCAAACGTCCACAGAGGTATGAATGTGGAGATGAGCCAGCACACCACCCCAGCTCCCCGGAAGGCCACTATCGGCAGCTGTATTATGAAGTGCTTGACAGTGCCAAGTCCTCCATCCAGACCCGGTTTAATCAGAAGGGCTTCGCCATATACACGAAGATGGAGAACCTTCTCTTCAAGAGTGCCAAAGGGGTTGACGCTACAGACGAGTTCAAGGCAGTGACAGAGTTGTACGGCGAGGATCTCGACTCCAACCTCCTTCTGACCCAGTTTTCCCTCCTTCAGACGCATCTGAACTCTGATGACGATGTCACGTTTAGGTCGGTGCTGAAGTTCTTGCGGGGCTACTCCACATCTCAGAGGCAGCTTCTGTCTGAAGTTGTGAAGCTGGTGTGCTTGATTCTGGTAAGCCCAGCTACCAACGCCATAAGCGAGAGATCCTTCTCAGCAATGCGGAGAATCAAGACCTATCTCCGCTTCACAATGGGCTAGGGTCGGTTAAATTCAGTCATGCTCCTCCAGACGCACAAGGACAGGACAGATGCACTGTCTGTGGTGGAGTTGGGCAATGGCTTCGTCGATGTCACCAGCAGTGATCACCGCCGCTAAATATTTGGCACATTCACGGATGCTGATCTTGCAGCTAAGTAACCCAGCTAGCAGTTTGCCTGTGATTGCTCTTCTTGTCTTTTTTCCGTGGCTTTGGCTTTCGCACACAGCAGCGGGACTGTTGTGAACCCTCCGGTTCTCTAAAGTATCAGGAACGAACGACCCCACACGGCACGAGGACAACTATGTATTCTCAACAGTATATTTCACTTCCATCGACTAACAACAATGAACAATGAATGAATGAATGAACAACTGATTGAACAACTGAATGAACAACTGAATAACTGAATGAACAACTGAATAACTAACACTAAAACCACCAGGTAGTTATAGCGTGAAAATGACAGCGTATATGAGAAAAGCATACACATACAACATACAACTACAGCGCACACAGCAAACCGCACATAGCGCATGTAGCGTATACTACGTCGTAAACATCAGCGGTACGGCGGAGTCGGGATACAGCTGCATTGGAACGAACACAATGTCACAAGCGAGAAGGCCTTTCACTATCTAGAACTTGTGGTTTCACAACATTCTCCCCACCAAAGGGCTTCTCACCGCCGTACAACAACTCACAAGTCAAACGATTTGGGGCTTACTACGCGTCATCTGCTGCTGCGGTGGTGGCCATGGTGGAATATCACTAATGCCCACCAATTCAGAACACTCGACATCGCGAAGCTTGCCGCTGTGGGCTGTCGCACACGACACTGTCACTGATCCACTTCGACATGGGGCAGACGCTGGACCAGACAACACACAACCGAAAATGTCATAAAGCTCGACGATGTGGGCTGTCACACACGACATGGTCACCGGTACACTGCTTCGACCCGGAGCGGGCGCGGAATCCGAGGACACACATCGGCTCTCTGTGTTCCACACAGTCTCGCCGCTTACTTCTTCCGTGCTAACCAGTAGTATCGCCCTTCTCATTTTCTCGGCTTCTACACCTTGCGTTTCTAAGTCTTGCGCCTCTAAGTCTTGCGCCTCTAACTCTTCCGCCTCCAACTCTTCCGCCTCTACGTCTTGCGCCTCTACGTCTTGCGCCTCTACGTCTTGCGCCTCTACGTCTTGCGCCTCTACGTCGTTCGGCCGAGACTCCAGCTGCTTCTGAGCGTCTCCGACCGATGTCGCCATGCACTGTACCGACCCAGTGGGCCTTGGATCTGATCCTCCCACTGGCTTCGAATACTCCTCTGACCGCTGCTTGTCTGTAAGCAAAGTCTTACACGCCTTGTCCGGCGTCCTTCCGGGCGAGGCAAGCAAATCTCGCTTTGCTTCCTCATAATATGTACTGACGGCGATGCGCTCGTCCATCTTCTTGAGCTTTTCGTTAAACTCTGTGCGGAGCGCACCCTCTTGCCGTCTAGCACTGTGCTCTTCAAACTCCTCGCTCTGTCGGAGCCTCTTCTCCACGTATTCTCTCAACCTATCGCCTTCAAATCCATACCGAATTCCGTTAGCGATAAAGCTGGCTTCAATGATCCATAGTTCCTGTGCCATGCTCGCTTCGTATCCTGGCGTGGTCGCCAAATGTTGTGAACCCTCCGGTTCTCTAAAGTATCAGGAACGAACGACCCCACACGGCACGAGGACAACTATGTATTCTCAACAGTA